CCCCCGGCCCCCGGCCCCGCCCGCCCCGCCCCCAGCCGTTCCCCGGCACAGCCCGGCGGGACGGGGGCCCGGCCTGTCTGGCGGGAGCAGGACCCTGCAGACCTCCGGGGTTGCCGGGGGACAGTGAGCGGGGCCTGCCTGTGAGGCTGCCCGAGCCCGCCCTGCCGGCGGAGTATGGCTTTGCCCGTGCCCGGGCCTGCTCGGCTGCGCTACCCTCACTGCACCCTGCCGGCTCCGGTGGGTTCCCAAATGCCTTTAATTATAAAAGATCTCTGTCCAGAGCGGAGTAGCTGTTTGTATGTGTTTATTTTCTAAAGCGTTTGTGGTTTTCCCCCCGGCCTGTGAGCTGGGGCAGCTGTGGGGTGGCAGCCCCCGCGGCTGGGGCCTTGCTCTTGGCTGTCACAGTTTGGTTCCTTGAAAATAAAACGGGAGCCGGGAGGAAGGTTATGTGACAAAGGTTTGTTACTTCACATTAATATTTTGTATTTCTCTTTCTGCCCCATCCTTTTCTCTCCCTCCGTGGCTCCGAAAAAGCTTATCGCAGAGTTCGCGGCTGGGAAACATGAAGTGCCGTGTGTGTCACTTTGTGTCTGGGGATGATTCTCCTGGTTCTTGCAGCAAATGTGGGGCCCAGCTGGCTCCTGTCGCTGGCCCTGGGGATGAGGATTCAGGTAGGAGGCTGCAATGCGGGGGGGAGCTGGGGGATGCTGTGCGGGGGGACTGGCTGGAGCACGGTGCTGGCGTGCCCCGGGGCTGCACGGTGACCGGAGGCTGCGGGTGTCCGCTGGTTCCTGTGTTAGCCCTGGTGCTTGTGGAGCTCTGGGCTGCTCTGGCCAGGTCATTATGTGCTGCTCTCGTCTCAAACTTCCCGTGCATTACTTGCCAGACATGGAGTTTTTCTCACTTTGCAGTGACTAGTGGGGGATGGAGAGAGAAGCAAGTCAGTCACTGACACCTTCTACACACATTCTCCACACTCAGATCTCCAGTGTTGAACTAGTTTCCATTTTGCCAGTGAACTGGTGCCATTTTTATGGAATGCTGTTTTACAAAGACTGGTTGTCCTGGTTTTGGCTGGGATAGAGTTAATTTTCTTCCTAGTAGCTGCTATAGTGCTGTGTTTTGAATTTAGGATGAGAATAATGTTGATGACACACTGATGTTTTAGTTGGTGCCGAGCAGGGCTTGCACAGAGCCGAGGCCTTTTCCTGCTTCTCACCCCACCCCACCAGCGAGGGGGCTGGGGGTGCACAAGAAGCTGGGAGGGGGCACGGCCGGGACAGCTGACCCCAACTGGCCAAAGGGCTATCCCACACCGTATGGCGTCATGCTCAGTATATAAACTGGGGGAAAGCTGGCCGAGGGTCTGCTGCTCAGGAACCAGCAGGGCATCGGTCAGCGGGTGGTGAGCAATTGCATTGTGCGTCACTGGTTTTGTATATTCTTTTATCATTATTATTATTATTTTCCCTTCCTTTTCTGTCCTATTAAATTGCCTTTATCTCAACCCATAAGTTTTACCTTTTTTTCCTGTTTTTTCCCCATCCCACTGTGGGGGGAGTGAGCAAACGGCTGTGTGGTGTTTAGCCGCCTGCTGGGTTAAACCACAACACTGATCTAGTCCCTCTTGAACCAGAATTTCCTATCATCAGCTTATTGTTAGGTTTAGAATTCACTGCCTGAGCTTCTGTTTGACAACACGCTAATTCTGCCTCTACGAACAGTAACAGAATCAAGTACACAATTAATGCAGTTACACGGGGGGAAATATTTCCTAATCCTTTATTTGCTTAAAGAGAGAATGACCCGGGCCACCAGAATTGCTTTTGGTGTGTTGATATGAAGAAGTAGGATCCTAAAAGAATACACTAAATCAGAATCAGCCTGCTGTAGTCCTGACAAGATCAATTCTTAGCAAATCCCTCTGCAATCCAGAATGGCAAGGTGACAAACCCAGCACTTCCAGGTCTTAAATGCTGTAGGAAAAACGTCCAAAGCA